CTGTGTCTCTAATTTTAGAACAAACCACAGTTCATTGTAATTAACTGCGTTCTATCTATGAACTTCTTGAGGGGAGAGCATTTTTCCACCATCGGCTAACACATGGGTTAGCACAAAGCAGGCCAGCGTTTCTCAAAACATGGTACCAGATGTACTTGCTTTAGTATCCCTCAGACGTCTGTATTACAATGAACAGGATCTCTCTTTCTCTCTCATTTTTTGGCAGGGTCTCACTCTATCACCCATGCAGTTATGCAGTCGTGCTGCTCACAGCTCACTGTAGCCTCATGCTCCTGGGTTTAAGAGATTCTCCCACCTCAGACCCCCAAGTAGGTGGGACCACAGGTGCATGCCACCATGCCCAGCTAACTTTTTGATTTTTTTTTTTTTTTTGGTAGAGATGGGAGTCTTGCTATATTGCTTAGGCTGGTCTCGAACTCCTGAGCTTAAGTGATCCTCCTGCCTCAGCCTCCCAAGGTGCTAGGATTATAGGCGTGAGCCACCACACCTGTGTGTGAGGCTAAAGATTCTGCCTTTTACATCGTCTGCCTAGATAATTCTTTTCCACAATGAAATCTGATTATTCTTATTTTAGGCTCTTGACAAATGTTTGTTGATTTATTGATATGGACATTTGTGCCTTGGAAACAAGATTGAGGTCAATGACTCATTCTTTATGGTCAGTAGCTTTCAGAGAGGAACATATTCCCAAGATTACTTTTCTCAGGTACAGCCTAAATATGGCCTCAACTTTATTCACTGAAATCATCAAAAATTATTGCTTAATCCTCTTTAAAAACATTTTTCCATATTACACTCAGCTGTTTCTTAATACTCATGTTAGGAGGAACATTCCACTTCCTGTATAGACTGGGTGTGTGCGCCTGTGAGGTGGAGACTGTGATGGAAGCGATGTGTCCGTCCTGATGTGCAGAGGACTCAGGATATGTAATGAAGTTTGCCTAATCATGGTCAACCTGAGGATAGTTCTCGGGGGGCCAGGGAGGTTTTAGAGAAAAGCTGCTTTGCAAATAGTTAAAACGTTGTGGAGAAGTTTTTGGCTACATCCGGGTAGTATTTACAATGACGAGCATCACCAGGATGCCAATCAGAGCTGCTGGGATTGAAATCTATTGTGTTAATATTATTATAGCAAGAGAAGACAGAGTGATATGGACCCAGAGCTACCAGAACTATTAGCTCATTAATAGGAAAATTTGATCCATTTTTCCTTCATAACAATCTCCAGCCAAACACAGCTCCAAAACTTTGGCCCCAAATCAAAAGTAATGACTCACTCTACCCCAAACAACTTCAGTGTATGCCAATCCAACATGTGGGCCATATGTGAAATGGACTAGGAGTTCCGGCATAGACACTGCTCAATGTCAAGCTGACCTTATTTATGTTTGGTTACTATAGCGTTAAGAAACATAAAACACTACCCTGCAATGTCCCCATAAAAACAGAATTCTCTAAGGTCCAATTAGATGTCAACTTGTCTTGAGAAAAATTGATTATAAAATATCCCAGAAATCACAATAGTAAAGTATTTTCTAGGAACCTATCTTCTTTAGTTGAATTGGAAAACCCATTGATTGTCAAGAAAAAAGTTTATCAGAATGGTCAAACTCTAAAAATACTCAGGATCCAGGTCTGCAAAATTCCATGTCAATAAAACCCGATGGATCCTCCCTAATAAGTACCAACTTAAATGCCCTGAAATAGATTCTGGTTTTATAAAGTGGTCATGAGAATGTCAGGACAGAACATACACTTTTGCCCAGATGAATCAGTGTCACAAATAATTACCATGGCTTAGGAAGTTCTAGCCTCAATGTTTTTCTCTCTGTAGATGGAATCCATTTGAAGAGGTTTTTTCCTCACTTCCTTTCTCTTCCAGGGAATGCTTTGTGCCAGTGTGCATGTCTTATATAACATTTATGTGGCCCAAGAGGGCACTGATCACATGACTATGTTGGCATACAGCATACACTATAAGCATGCAGATGTGATGAAGGTTTTGCCAACTAATATTTCCAAGTTGTGGGAGATTTTCTCCTTCTAGGCTGGCTTAGAGCATGACTATTGTGTCCTCTCTACTGATTTAATTATTCCAAGGGAAGATTTCAGGGGAATTGCAGAGTATTTATGACTGCTCCAGAGGTACCAGAAGGCCAGAGGGCTCCTAAAATCATTCAACATATGAGAATTCTTGGGAGAAATGTAGCCCCAGCACCAGGAAATCCTTTTTCTCTTTATTCTGGTCCAGAGCAGTTTTGTCCCCATCACAATTTATATCCAGATTCTAGAAGCTTCAGGGGAGATCTTTATGGACCCAACATTCAGGTGTCTACAAAGCATGAATGAGCAAACTCCATTCGCAGACTGGACCCTTCAGTGGCAGGAAGCGGCTGCAGCCTTTGGCAGGGTCCGTTTTGCTGGTCTTGGAAACCGTTCCCCGTTGTGGCATTCTTCTGGAGGATGATCCTCTCTTTGGTTACAAGAGAGTAGAAATATATAGGTGTTCTGGATGTGGGTTTGGCCAGGAAATGACATCTGTTGTCAAAATATCATCAAGAAGAATAAAATATGGAGAAAGGGAGCAAGATAATGGACAACTGAAGGGAAAGTTACATCCCTGTTTATTTTCATCAAACACTGAAGTCCCTGGCCTCCCTTATACCTACTTATTCTTTTTTTCTTATTTATTTATTTATTTTTATTGCATTTTAGGTTTTGGGGTACATGTGCAGAACATGCAAGATAGTTGCATAGGTACACACGTGGCAGTGTCTTGCTGCCTTCCTCCCCTTCACCCCCATCTGGCATTTCGCCCCTAAATATTCTTATATATTGATTCAAAGTAAGTGTCACCCCTGTTTCTCTTTTGCTTTACTCCTGACTTCAAATGCTAATATAAAACTAGTTCAAAAGACCAACAGTGTAGGGAAATGTCTTAGAAAATTTACAGTTGGTTGTGAATGCTTTTTACTGAAGATCTGGACTAATATTTTTCTTTCTAACACACTTGAATTAACTAATTTTATCATTTTTTTTGTGATGCCAAAGACATCAGCAGGCATAGCATGTTATAAATGTTATCTTCCTACCTGTTCCCATTAATGCACTGCATGTAAAGCATATTATTTAAAAATATTTGAAGTAGCTGACTAAAAACGTAAATATATGTGTGTCCATATATAAATAAAACCTAATAGCTACTTGGAAAACACTGTAAAGGAACTGTGCTCTCAAATTAAAACCTGAAATAAAAGGGGAAGCAATTTCCAGTAAGTGGAAAAACATACAGAAAATAGAGATCAGTTCCCATCTTTTTAACCTTCAAATGGACAGAATTCTTCTTAAACAAAGAGGGAAAAGTTGGCTGCTGATCATTATTTGCTTTGTTCATACCGTAAAAGCCTTAGAGGGAAAATCACACTTTGGTCACACTGAGTGACAGAGAGACAGTTGTCAGAGTTGGACACGTTTGCCAATAGAAGAAAAATCCAGTTACCAACTACATATGTGTTCCTTTTGGTTCCTGGAACTGAGAGCACATCAGCATGTCTTCTGAGACTCATGCCTGGCATGTTATTACAGCTGTATATCATCAGAGCAAAAAAAAAATAATTGGTTTTCCTTGGAGTATCTCTAAGTTGATGTCATATTCAATAACCCTGTAGTTGAAAAATCTATATATGATGGATGGACTCTGGACTATCTTTTGAATTTAATTCCTCATGTGCCAGCTTCTCTAGGCCTTGGTGTACCTGTCATTTTTAGGTGAGCATGTGCAGTATTCAGAAAATGCAACCAGGGCTGGGCGCGGTGATTCACACATGTAATCCCAGCACTTTGGGAAGCCAAGGCGGTTGGATCACCTGAGGTCAGGAGTTTGAGACCAGCCTGGCCAACATGGTGAAACCCCGTCTCTACTAAAAATACAAAATTAGTTGGGTGTGGTGGTGCACACCTGTAATCCCAGCTTCTAGGGAGGCTGAGGCAGGAGAATTACTTGAACCCAGGAGGCAGAGGTTGCAGTGAACCGAGATCATGCCACTGCACAGCAGCCTACATGACAGAGTGAGACCCTGTCTCAAAAAAAAAAAAAAGAAAAAGAAAATGCGACTACTTCTGCCAGATAATGAACTGTAGGATAACAATTTGTTTTGCATGTATAGTCGCCTCATTCTTCACTCTTAACCATGTCACCAAGAAGCCAGTCTCAGCTTGCAACCCCACACTGGGGTCCAGTGCAAGGTGTAGCTGCATCGGTGCTGTGCATCACAGCATGAGGGTTGTGGCTTCCCTTCCTCTGGATCTGAGGGCTTCAAAGACAGCCTTAAATATATAGGTATCTAAGATGGGCTTCCAGGCACACTGCCAGCACGTCCTCGAGAACTCTTCCTTGCGAAAGTAAGTACGATATCTGGATCCACTGAGGATGCTTCTTTAGTTCATCCTGGACAAAGGATCCAAACTTGGACAGAGACGCCTGGAGCTGACAGTCCTGGATTAGCCTAGCACCAGTACCCTGCCTGCCCCTATTTCCCAGCATTGCAGGTCTAGCCTTGGGGCTGACTTTAGGATGTGGCCTCTGCTAAGGGGCTTGGAGTTTAATCTCAGGGTTCAAAGCTGCTCTTGAGCCTGGGGATGTGGCTTCGTTTGGAACTAGATGCAACCTGGCCTCTAGTTAGAAGTGGCATGCCCAAACTTAGAAATTCGGATTTGTGACATGTGAGATGCAAGCTAATGTCTTCTTGAAGTCAGTTTTATGTCTGACAGTTAAATACAGTTACAGAAAAGCAATACCCCATTAGTTTCTATGCCACTAATTTGAAATGTATGTAATATAGTCTGATGAAATTAATCTCACCTCTGACCAGAAGGCAATGCTGTTTAAATGAACAAGTTGGAGGTGAATGAATAAAATATTAAGTTAATGACCTAATAATTATTTAAGAGACCAGATGAAGACAACAGAATTTCCTTACCTATTAGCAGAGCTTCTTTCTCTGATTTTAAGCCTTGGCTTCTCTTCTCAATATTGTTCTCTCGGTCTTGGTTGACCAATGCAACGGTCAACACATTGATTTCCTGTAAAGTTAAAAACCAAAAACCATTCATGGGTTTATGTAGATTCTGCGCATGTCAATAAAAACACCAGATCTCTTAGACTCTATAGATGAGGTCATCACTTCTATTTATAACTAAAGAGCCAATCTTTTATACAATTGATCGATTTGCCCAATAGTAGAAAAGTAACTGTAAAGTTAGGCTCCTCGATACTGTTCCCAGCATGCCATGTAATTATCTGCATAAGTGGCAAATTTGGCACAAATTATCTTAGATTTTTGTCCATATTTTGATTAAACTCTGTTCATTAAAACTCTATTTGACTATAGCTACATTAATGTGTTTTATTTCAAATATGAAAAATCTTTGGGAAAGCATACAGGATACTGACTTATAATACCATGCTAGTAATGTGTGTGAGTGTGTGGAGAGACAGGGCCTATTGGAGAGCTAAGACAGAATTGTTAGAAGTGTTTTTAAGTTTGAAAACTAAAAAGGAAGAGTTGTACAACAAGCCAATAGTACATGAAGCATCGAGGCTGGACTACTTTTAGTTCTTTCTGTGGTCTTTTAACAGAGATAAAGATTTAACTCATACCCTCCTAGACTTTTGATATTAGGACTCAAAATGGGGAATGATTTAATGGAAAGTCAATTTAATGATCTGCATATATGACCTGCATACACGGGATAGTAGAATCACTGAGTCTTAATCGGAGGAAAGTTGCTCACTGAAAGATGGTTCCAAAGGACTCATATATTGAGTAGGAGTAGGAATGACAACCTGCAGGAATGACAGAGGACAGGTAGGGAGAGCCGACTGGACAAAGAATTCAGAAGGTTTGAACAAATGGTTGACAGGTGTTCCCAGGACTGGAAGTGGAGAGATATTTATCTACTTAGTACATATTAACTGGTCAGATCCAAGAATATAGAAAGTATTGGGAGCATGCTGGGCCTGCAACAGTGAAGGCCACCCCTGAAGGCATTCAAATAAGAAAAATAAACTCAGCGCATCCCAGTCAAAACAGATCTATGAGCTTCATTTAACTTACGAGCTACTACTTTGTAATCCAGGGTTAATTAGAAGTTGCCGGGAAAGAAGGCTCTACTGAGAAACTGCAGTTGCTAATGTCTGATGAGCATTTTAGGGCTCCTCTTAAGGTCACTTACTTGCGGAAGACCAAGTGATCAAGACGGAAGGAGAAGTGAAAAAGGGCAAAGAAAAGGATTGAGAAATTGTAGTGATGCGATGATACGTCATGGGGGAACTTGGTTGGCAGGATTGGGCAAATCACAGTGATGCAATGATACGGCATGGGGAGAACTTGGCAGGATTGAGAAAATCACAGTGATGCGATGATACGTCACGGGGAGAACTTGGCAGGATTGAGAAAATCACAGTGATGCAATGATACGTCACGGGGAGAATTTGGCAGGATTGAGAAAATCACAGTGATGCGATGATACGTCACGGGGAGAACTTGGCAGGATTGAGAAAATCACAGTGATGCGATGATACGTCACGGGGAGAATTTGGCAGGATTGAGCAAATCACAGTGATGCAATGATACGTCACGGGGAGAATTTGGTTAGCAGGATTGAGAAAATCACAGTGATGCGATGATACGTCACGGGGAGAACTTGGTTGGCAGGATTGAGCAAATCACAGTGATGCAATGATACGTCACGGGGAGAATTTGGTTAGCAGGATTGAGAAAATCACAGTGATGCAATGATACGTCACGGGGAGAATTTGGTTAGCAGGATTGAGAAAATCACAGTGATGCAATGATACGTCACGGGGGAACTTTGGCAGGACTGAGCAAATCACAGTGATGTGATGATATGTCACGGGGAGAACTTGGCAGGATTGAGAAAATCACAGTGATGCGATGATACGTCATGGGGGAACTTGGTTGGCAGGACTGAGCAAATCACAGTGATGTGATGATATGTCATGGGGAGAACTTGGCAGGATTGAGAAAATCACAGTGATGCGATGATACATCACGGGGAGAACTTGGTTGGCTAGTGGGTATTCCAGGCCTCAGGTGATGGTAGGAACATTCCAATCAGGACAGGAGTCAGGAGGAGTTTGGGGAGTGGTCTAAGCTGAGTCTGGAGCCAGCTAGTGTCATCAAAGGTTACTAGAGATGAAAGATGCTCTTACAAATCAGACATAGGATCTTGGGAGTCAGCCTCAACTGAAACACAATGAAGAATTTTAAAAGAGAACAAATCAAAACGCTTACGTAGATGGGATTAGAACATTTATAAAGAGAAATTACAGGAAAGGAAGTAGAAGTTCCTTCTATAATAAAATAACATTTAGTACTTTCTGATTAGGCTGTCTGGACCGGAGCAGAGTAGGTCTGCGTGTGTGCACATCATCTTTCCGGGGTAGTGGGGTCAATAGGCCTGCTGAGTTCTATTAGTGATGTGCGCTAAGGACAAATAGGTCCCACAGGGACATGGCGCTGGACTTCTGGGCCTGGGAGGTGAAGATTGCTGAGAAGATGCAGGCTGAGGCTCCGTAAAGATCTCCCAAGAGAGGTGTAGGAAGAAAGAGGATAGGTGTAGGAAGAAAGAAATGATGCAATTAACTAGGATAACAATTGCATCATTTAAAAAATACAAAAAATGAACCCTGGAGCTGAGTGGAAATAATGTTTCCAACAGAGGGTGATCTGTTCAAGCCTGGATGATAACTGGGGCCAAATGAAACTTCTCAGAATGAGTTTAGCAGATAACAGGCCCACATTAATTGCCAAGACTGAGTGGTGTCCTGGGGCCATCGCATAGTTGGAGATCCAGGTTCATTGAGGGAAATGGACTGTAGAGGGTAGGCAGATGTCAGGAGCCAGTAGAGAAAGGCAAGGGCAGAAAAGACAGACCACCTGAGAATGCTGTTCTCTCCCCAGGTCCAAAAGTGGAATCACATAGAAAGGGGTACTCTGAGTAAGGCTCAGAGAAATGCTGCTGAAAAACAACGTCGACTAGGAGCCAGACAGGGCTGGGAAGATGAGTATGGAAAGGTAAGAGCTTTAGGATCACCACTCTTTGGAAGTATTTCTTGAGACTGGATACTGGAGTTTGTGCTCTGCTGACTACAAATGGTGTGCTCTGACGCATGGCCAATGACTGGAGTGGACACATCTCCGTGTGGCTCCCACAGCAGTAGAGCAGGCCCGGGCTTAACAGAAACCAGAGGCTTGGAAGACACTCCAGCTTTGGGGGACCTCTGTGAGTTTGCTCCAGGTTGGAGTTAGAGCTGTTTTTCTGACTCCTCTAGAGGGAGAACTGTGCTAGAAGTGGTACAGGATCACTGAAGCTGATCAGGCAGGCTCCAAGGAGTGCTCGCATCTTATAGTAAACCGGCCTCAAGAATCTCCAAGGAAAATCATCATTTCCATTAGAGTCGAGGGTGTGTCCAAGCCTACTGAATGGTCTATAGCACTGAGTGAGGTGGACCAACTTATGACCAGTCAAAGAGTCACTACTGACTAAGCTCTGGATCCTAAGTCTGCCTTGGGCCTGGTATAAGCTCAGGCTCTTGCTGACGAAGTCACAGAGCTAATTAGATGGGTGAATGCTTATGTCATCCATTTTGCCAAAGAGAACAGTTAAAGTTAATACAGTTGTGTTTCAAGGGATAGAAGACATGATAGCGATTTTAGACAGCCACATTATATGTTGTGGTTTTACCTTTTCCAACTATTCAAAAAGGAGAGTTTTAATGACTCACTGCATTCCTTAGAAAAATAAGGTTAATTTGATCTGTCTGTATTTATGTTGGTATTTTCAGTTGAATAAGAAAATGCCAATTATTGATAATCTACAAGTTTGGGGTAGTCTACAAAGTGGATATAAGCAACAGCTGTGCTCTCTGTTTTTATTTATTGTCTAGAAATCTAAATGATCACATTTGTCAAAAGAGTTCCATCATCATGATTGTTGAAGGTGAAGGGAATACACAGAGAGAATGTGGAATTGAGTAATTCCCAAACCAATTCCTTGTTGCATTTAAGCTAAGCCTGTTTTTACTTTCAGCCACTGAGTAAATATTTATGTGAAATACATACATCACAGGTCTACTATATGCCAAGGAATTCTAAGTTTTTAAGGATATGGCATTCAAAGTGATCAGAAGTGCAAGCTTACCCAGGGACCAGCAAGCAATTCTTATAAAAGGTCTAAAAGAAAGAAATATGAGTAGATGAAGTGGAAAAGTAGGTAGATCATGGAAGAAGTGTAGATTTTGTCTGGAAGGCTTAACAAGTGAAGAGTTTTGAGCTCTGCATTTTGGAACATTGGTTTAGAGGCAAATGAAACTGGAGTCAGCCTACTGCAAAAGTGTATCCACTTTTGCTTTCTGATGACGGCAGTCAAAACCAAAAACAATGGTATGCAGAGTGCCAACGGCATTCAAGAGGTGGAACTAAAAAAAAAATCTGGTGACCTGGTGGATGATGAAAATATTGAGAATGAGTAGGTGCCTCAGTGAACAGGAAAATAGAGAAGGAAGCCAGTCAGCGAGAAGACTGTGTGCTCAGTTTAGGAAATGTTGAACTTAAGGTTTCTATAGCATCTTGTCAAAATATTTTAGAGGAAGTAGGATGTGCATGTTTCTGAACTTAGAAGTGAGGCTCTGACAGTTCTTTTTATGGGGCCCTTCTCAGGCTTTGTTTGTAGCAGGCAATCTTGATGTTTCCTTGTGGGACAAAGAGCAGGCTTGCTTACAGTTGATATAAAAAAGACGGATTCCTAAGCTCAGTGTTTCTGTTTTGTAACACAAACCACTGCATGTGCTGGCATCCTCTGGGACCCTCTATGGAGATGCTCAGGTTATAAGATCCATGAGGGTAAGTCTGGTGAAGCCAAACTTCTTCTGGGAACAATCTCTCAGTTGGATTTCATATTATTTGTATAGGACACTCCAACTTATCTGTTTAGTCATTGGGGAACACATATTATAGGGACATTGAATCATAAATTATGCATGGTTTTGCTCCTTTCTT